AAAAAAAAGAAATTCTGCCATTTGCAACAAGCCTTTATTTCTATAGTTGATCTAAACGAAGTGTTCTTTAATTTTAATCTGACTTTCCAGAAGTTTCAAAGCCTGTTATATGATGCTGTTACAAGCATGGAATTACTTATAAAAAAAAAGTTTTAAGAAGAGAGATTCTCTGAGAGGACTTTCTCATACCTGGTTACGTGGATACTGTGCCATCTGTTGTCATCGACGGGGAAGTCTGGAAACTCCAACCGTGCTGACCCGGAGCCCAGGTCCCAGAGGAAGGCCACTTTCCCTCGCCGCATCTCCACTGCAAGGAAATCAGACTGGGGTGCGGGGCATGAGTGGGGATGAGTTTACACACCGGACTGTCTGCACAACCACCATGATACATTAAAGAACAAATTCTCACAGTGTTTTCTTTATTCTTAAAAAAAAAAAAAGCCAAATCCACAAAACTATTCTTTTTTGTGTAAACGCTCCCCTCCCTGGAGCTGGGCACTGGGGACATTAGTGCCTCTGTGCCCGGGCCTGGCATGGCCCAGCTCAAGGCCTCCCATAGGGTTCACCAGGAAAACTCGCTGGGAGTCACCTGCAGTCCGCAGGGAGCATGAGGGAAGGCATCGTGCTCGTGTGTCTCCCAGTCTCGGACGGCAAGAAACAGCTATGAAATTTGCAGTAAGACAGGAGCCGTGAAATCCTACATCACGGACTTGCATGTGCTTTGCATCTTATCTCCTAAGAACACACTTCAGACACTACATGTGCTTGTTAACGTTTTCTGCCCAAGGGTTCTGACCGATCCCACTGAACACCCGAGGGTTCTGACCCATCCCACTGGCACAGCCAAAGGATCCATGGTCTTCCATAGGGAACTCGCCTTCTGGGAACCGCTGGAATCTTGTTGGCAGGAAGAACCTGGGCAAAGCTTGGCAATGGTGATACTCAGTCCCCTCAGGGGTCACAGGGGCCTCAAACAAAGTCCTATCCCCACAGCTTGCAGTTAAGATGGCAGCGGGGAGCACTGTTCAGAAATGTCACTTTCCTTCTCACAGGCATTCAAATTTGTAGTTGGTTCATTTTTAATCCTAATGCTACCATTTTGGCAAATATTAGTCCCTGTAGGAGAATTAGGGATTTCACTAAGACCCTATTTTTTTTAACCAAATAAGTATCAATTCAGAAAATCTGTAAGTTCGTAAAAGACTCATTGTTGCTTTCACAGATCCACAACTTACGCTGGTGCTGCCACCGAGGTAGAAAAGAAGGTTATCGGGTTCACGCGTCTTAACGTTTAGTGTTAAGGTGTTATAGTTCGTAGAAGAAATCTGAGGCTGGTAGGCACGGATGCAATCTCTGTCTGCAGACACGGCAACTTTAATCTGTAGAAGGAAAAGGAAAGTGTCCCAATTATTTAGTGACACACCAGCAGCTCAAAGGTGCTACTCTGTAATGAGTTTCCACAGTGAGCCTGGCTTCCTCTCTTGATAACACACAATGCTTTGTGTTCCATACAGTAAGAAATCAGATGGTGATAAGAGTGATTTTATTTGGTAAGTGTTTAAATATGGGAAAATCAGTGTTAGTTTTTAATAGGGCATTTTATATAGCAAACTGTCTTGCTCACGAGATTTAATTCTTTAAAGACAAGGATCTTATCATCTTGGGATCTTTCCACCTGAACAAAGAGGATATATTTGAAGATCATTTGACAAATAAATGAAGAGGTAATATACTTATTCATTCAGCAAATCTCTATAGAGCAATTATTGCACTTGCTACGTATTTCTTTGATGAGCAATTATTTGCATATATATCTTACGTTAACCTTAAAGCCTCTAAGTTTATATGAGCCACAGCATTCAGAGCCATCCCGTGGGCTGGCATTTATTTAGCCACTGTAACTGAAGCAGGGGGAAGCCAGGGCTCATGGAAACCTACATTCCCTTTCCAACAGGGAGGACACTTGGGGGAGGGGAGGACAGAGAGCTCAGAAATACCTCCCCTTTAGAGCACAGCCAGCATCGTGTGCCATGGGTAATTATAAAACCTTTTCTCAAGTTTGAACTTCTCCAAATGCCCAGCGGTTTATGCATCCAGTGACCTGGATTTGTGCAGCATTTGGGTGTACACAAACTGCTTTCTTGGACTCCTCGAGGACGGGGCCCACATTGCACAAACATTCTGACAAGTATTTGGATCATTAAAATTAAGTTGGTAAAGGAAGAAATAACACCATATGCAGCTGATGAAACTTAGAGGGATGGTACACTTAGACTTAATGGGTCCTGCACCATCTAGGCTAACAGTTATAAATCTAGGCTATGACGAGAAATCTCCATAAAGACGTGGAGATCTCTTTGCTAATAACATTTTGAAACATATTGAATAAAAGCAGAACTCAAAGAAAATGAGGCTAATTATTGGCTTTAAATATACCAAGAGAAGGCTACGAGGAAGATCGGGTTCTGTCAAAGTCCAGGGGCCTAGGGTGACTGAGAGCCACGTCTATAGGAATTCTGAGACCCAGGACGACTGCGAGCCCGGGGGCTAGGGGAGCACTGGGTGATATCGCGAGCCGCGAGACCCCAACTCACAGACGCCGCTTGTTTCCGGGCCTGGCTGATCAGCAGTTTAATTTCTGACAGGTTTCTGCTCAGGTTCTCTTCTAACATCTTCAAAGGCTTCAACCGATCAAATAAAAGGTTGGCTTGAGTTTCCACATCTTTAACTTTTCTTCCAGCTAGCAGAGCTAATGAATACAGGAGGCAAGGAGCAGAAAGAAAGTTGGGGATGGGGAAAAAGAAGATAATTAATTGTTCATTTCTAATGCACTGGATAAAGCAGAATATCCCAATAATCGAATCTGTGAAATTTTGGTAAATACATGAAAAATGCACTGATAGCATGCATTACCCAGGCCCTTCTCTTTCTTTATACATGCTAATTCAGACCTTAGCACATTTTTCTTTTTCAGAAATGTTATGAGCAAGACACCATTGCGTGTCTGGCAAGCTGCACATCTGCATGACGCAGACTTGCAAGACTGCACGGAAGGACACTGACGTACTGGTCACGGTGGAGTCGTGCAGGAGCTCGTTTGTCTCCCGCAATGTGGCGTTGACCCTGGCCAGGCCGGTCGACGTGTTCAGCAGCTTCTGGCTCAGTCCCACGACGGCGCTCAGCGTGCTGGCTGCACTCTGATTTGCAGACGCAGCCAGCTCCTTAGTTCTGGCCCCTTCGTCTCCCACACCTAAAATAAATGTATATGCAAGCATGCACTCTGCGGGTTATACACAGAGAAAAAAATAAAGCTGCAACAAATGTAATTTTACACAAACATATTACAGTAATTTTACTGATTGTTGAACTCAAAGTGAGGCTTCTTTTTTTTCTTTCTTTCTTTTTTTCCTTTTGGGCAGTGGTCAACAGCCTACAAAGCTTCTTCTTTTTAGTGTATATATTAAGGCTGTATACAATATGCTCTACTACTTCCTTGTGAAAAGAAAATAAAAACCTCCCCAACTCCTTATGCAAAAAGGAAGGTAAAGGCCTCAGGCACCTATGAAGAACTGGCCCCACAAATCATGAATTAAGGAAATGCCTTGCTGGACTCCCGTGAGCAAGGTCATGCAAATTGTAACTTTAGGGTCACAGGCTACCTACAGCTCCTGAAACTGAAATCTGTTTGATTCCACACTAATAGTGAATTACAAGTTTATCTGCGGAGGCAGCAGACCAGAGACAAGACAGGATCAGATATTCTTCCACCTATCCAATGACATCTATATAATTGATGCTTCCTTCAATCCCTTTTTCTCTTCTAACAGTCTCCTTATCTTATGTAAAATGTACATTTTCCTGGGTCTCACAAGAACCTAACCATTTTGTCTCACTACAGCCCCCTACTGCCTTTTGTTTAATGTCCTACTCCCCTTTAAATACCGAAAATTCCAAATTCCACCTTGGAAAAATAGCCACAAGTCTGTCTGTGGTTTATGTTTTTGTGTTTTTCCCAGGCATGTTCTCAACTTGGGCTTAAAAACCTCCACTGATTGGGATTTTTGCTTCAGTCACTTATTTTGGGTCAATACCCTTTTAGGGACAAATTAAATAATTTTTGATAACAATTCCCTGGAATATGATTTCAATACCTAATGAGATCACAAAAGTATGGCTAATTGCCCTGTGCTCAGTACCTTATATGTTAACAAGCTAAACTTCTTCATTTGGGTTCTTTTTATCATTCCCTTCTCACCATCATGAAACATTCTCCACATCATTTCATGTCTGGATAAGAAAGCTTTGGAACTTGAAGTCTGCAGTCGAGAAGGAAGTGTCTTAGGCTAGAGGAATAGGTATTTAACCGGCAGCAGAACAAGGACTAAATAGCCACTCAAGGTAAACTGGAATTCAGTTAGACTAGAAAATCTGGGTAAGGATTTTTTTAAAGATATGATTACTAATTTTTAAAGTATTTAATCACAAATGGTGCAAAACGTTGCAAAACATTAACAGTCGAAGAAGCTGGATAAAGGGTATACAAGAGGCTTTTTTACTGTTCTTGCAACTTCTCTGTAAGTTTGAATTTACCTCCGAATGAAAAGTTATTAAGTGTTTAATTAAAATATATCATATTATCTTTCAAAAAAAAAAAAAAAGGAAATGAAAAGGTAACTTCCAGGTGAGAAAATGCTCCATTGATTGAAGGTGAGAAGTAAGCCTGGGGCACCCAGGCCCAGCTGCCCCTGGAAGCTGTCAGGCTCGCAGTGGAAACTTTGTAGGCAGCACCTTGGAGGAGGCAACAGCACCTTGTAAGACTTTCCAAAAAATGCTTATGAATGCAAACAAAGAAGTTTGAGGTGATATAAATAATGCACTGCAGCACAATTCATTTGTATGATACTTAAAAACTTATCCTATCTAAAACTTTAATGAATACTGCCTTTTCAAACCATCAATATTAAAGTGATTGGGGGCCTATTTTAGAGTGCTTTATTGTCTCATGAAGGAAGGTGACCAAGTCGGAATTCTTCCACTTACTGCATTTATAATGAACCTGGCATTTTCCCCGAAGGCAGGTAAAAACCAATCTAGCTTTCTTACTTACCAATGCCTTTGCATGCCCCTTCTTTTATCTAAGCAATGTGTCAAGCTCATTTCAAAAGTAAGCAATTAAGATGGTTATATGGCCAGGCACGGTGGCTCAAGCCTGTAATCCTAGCACTCTGGGAGGCCAAGGTGGGTGGATTGCTTGAGCTTGGGAGTTTGAGATCAGCCTGAGCAAGAGCGAGACCCCGTCTCTACTGAAAAAAAATAGAAAGAAATTAGCTGGACAACTAAAAATATACATAAAAAATTAGCCTGGCATGTTGGTGCATGCCTGTGGTCCCAGCTACTCGGGAGGCTGAGGCAGGAGGATTGCTTGAGCCCAGGAGTTTGAGGTTGCTGTGAGCAAGGCTGATGCCAAGGCACTCTAGCTCAGGCAACAGAGTGAGACTCTGTCTAAAAAAAAAAAGATGGTTATATGTCTCTGTTTTTAAGAGTATAATTCCAATATTTCAACGTAAGTGTTCTCAGGTTATTTTTAAAAAAGCACCTATGATCTTCCCAATCATACTCCTTTGCAAATAAAAACTTGATCAGATCGTCTTGGTCTCATTTTCCAGCTGGGACTCCTGATTGGACTTGAGGCAGGACTTCCTCATGCTCCTGTATGATGCTCTTATGAGATAAGACATTAATTAAATCAAGAAACTCCTTTCTACTTACCTTCAGGAATTGCTCTAAGTATCAAGAGTGATTCATTGGTCTTCCTGGTAATTTTATCAGCACTCTCTTGAAATCTGTTTGCTGTATTTCTCAATCTACTCAGTTCCAATGCAATACCTATTTAAAGAGGAGGGGGTGGAAACGTTCCCTTTTAGGTTAGACTACGGAAAAGTTGCCTAGGCAACAGCTTTCTTTATCACTCCTGAACCATCTACAGAATCGATAGCATCCTACAGAGAATCCCAATATTAAAAGTTTTTCCAGCAAGACTTTGCACCATCCATTATGGAAATTAAGAGTATGTTTTTAGCTTGATCATTTTTTCTACTTTGCTTGTGGATCTTTCCCACTAATATTTTTTCTTAAATTTCACATCCAATTTTGAGTTCAAAAATGAAGAACTTATGTTTAAGTCACTCAGTGTTACCCAGACTCACTGGCTTCCTAGTCGCACCTGAATCTTGGCCACCTTTCTCTTCTGGGCTGTGAAAACCCACAGGTGGGCTCCTACCTGGGAGGCTCCCTCAGTGTCTTCCCCTTGCATCCCCAGCCAATCCTCTGTCCCTTTCTGTTCCCTTCCGGCCACCCAGCTGGCACTCGACTCAACCTCCTTCTCAAGTTTGATCAAAGCTTTCACTTTTAAAATTTCTGTTCATAATATGCAATCACATTTGGACTTTGAACACATGGTAAAAATATGAGATTTTAATTGCCAAAAGGTTCACAATTTCGTGACTACGAAGTACCTGTAGTTGTGTAAACTGAAACCACAGTCTCCAGTTTTGAAAGCCCATCAACACTGATGCTAGAGTTTGTGCTTAATGTTTTGTGATCAAGCATTATGCATTTTCTATATTGTGAGATGACAACATATATTCTTAATCGTGTCACTCACAGAGAAACAAACAGACAAAGTATGTATATAGCTAAGCCCTTGGTTTGGACAGCTGTGGAAGGATCCGGCACTAGACTTGGAAATAGCCTGAAAAAGGTATGAGCTTCGTGTACGACCCACTATTTCCTCCTGTAGAAGAGTCGTGGTGTCTTTGCTACATTAGCACATATTAAAGTGAAAAGCACACTACTTGTTATGAAAAACTGTATGCCTGTGTAGCTTCTCTTACACAATAGAAGCTGCTGTGATTTTGTGTTATGTTTACTGGATAGACAGCTCTTACACATGCCAAGTCATTGCTTCTTGAAACTCTTGGGACAAACTAAACTGCATAGGGAGTTTTTGAAAATCGATAAGTCAATTATGATTTAATTCAATAATTATTAAATGAGAATCTACCATGAGTCTAACATACTAGTCTTGTGAGAAAGGTAAAAGCAATTGCAAACATATTATATCTTTCCCAAAAACTGTGAAAAAATGAGAGACAGATGGGGCATCTATGCCATCAGACAGAACGCAGCCAACACTAGGAAGAACAGTGAAAGGAGAATTTGGTCATTAAAAAGGCTTAAAGATAGAGCTGACTGCACAATAAAGGAAGAGGTTTCACTAGGATAAAATTTGAAACTGTATGAAGTTTATACAGTAGGAAATTGAAATGTTAATGTGACAAAGAAATGTGATGTTTCCGGTCACTCCAGGAAAGGAGGACGTTCTTAGAGGATGCTCAGAGACGCGCTCACATGCACTCGGCTCATCAGCGTGGTCCAAGCCACAAACTGACCTTGATGCTTTCTGCTGAGGTTGTTGCCTTCTCTTAGAAATTTGGAACTGCGCTGAAGAGCCACTTTGCCGTTGGACTCGAGGGGTTCTGAGAACTGGAAAACAGAACGACTTAAACATGGGGCTGGAGGGCAGAGTGGGGTCCTGCTGGGGACAGAGGGAGCAACTCCATCAGAATAGCCTCTGGCCAAGTTCCCAAGAAGAAGTCAGCTAGGAAAAAGGTAAGAACAATTTAAAATGGCCCCGGGTGAAAGAATGCCGAGACTTTTTTAAGTGTATAAAGAAGAAAACCAGTCATTCAATAAAGATTTTCACCACAGGTAAAGAAAAATAACGTCTCCAGTAGATATCAAGTAGCATGACCACTTTTATTGTAAAAATACAACACTAGTTCCTAGTATGTATAGAGAAGTATTTATGACCTTAAGAAATTAAAGCATATATCACACGACAACAGAAGCCATAAACATATGCCATCAGCTAAGAATGTTAATAAGCATCAATTTGAGCTGCTGAGTCTTTGCGGAAACACCTTATGGAACAATCTCCCACGGTGCCCAGAAAAAGAAGCCCACGGACATTCCTTACCGGGCTTACCTTAGTCACGATCCTGTGAGCGTCTTCTGCCAGTTTCTCTGATTCTTCGATCAGGCTCTGGATGTTGGAATAGACGTGGGCTGCACTGGTCGCATTCAGGGACACATGTCTGATGTTTTCAAGGCCACTATTGAATCAGCATGTTTAGAAATATTAGGATAAACTAAATCAAACTTGCAGATTCACTTGTGAGAATTGTAAGTGCCTACTATTCTGGAAAGCCTCCTAGTTTCTCCCCCCTTAGAAAAGTATCATTAGTGAAAAATAAAAACATATGTGTTCCCCTCTAACTTCAACAAATCTTTGAGAAGCAGTAGCCATATTGTCATGATAACACTCAGAACTGCTATTTAATCAATACCAAAGCAATCATTGCTGTTTTTCCCTTAGACAACCGTTGATCACTTTCCACTAGCTGCCCTCAACATTCCCTGATCTATATTCAAACCCCTGCATGTGTCCGGGGCACCGGTGCATGCTCGCATTAGTTATAATCTCCCCTGCAACACACTCGGTAACTTCCAAAAAGCTTTCCTAAACATACGTGAGGATGCTGAATCTTAACCCTCAAACAGCATATACCAAGAGATTTTGGAGGAGGCGGATCAGATAATAATACTTTAATCAGTTGAACTTCATTCTAACAGTGAGTGGTCAAATCACTTAGGAACTTGGTAACTGGTATGGCACAGTTTGATCCAGCTCTCTCTATCTTGAAAATGAAATCTGGCAATTGACACACCTTTGCTTCCTGAATAACTCACTTCACTTTCTTTCCAAGGTTACTGAAGTCGGGCGATTCCCAGACCAGATATTAGCAGTTATTGCTCGTTACTACTTGATTGGCAGAATGTGGTGATTTATAAATCAAGGATAATAATGTTATTTGACTTTGTGTATCATACCAAATTGCTTTTACTACTCTTATATTAAGCAATAAAGATTTTGTTCTAGCTAAGTATGGAGTGGGAATTTCCCTGTCTTTTTTAAGAAATGTTGAAGGATGATGAAAAGAGAGAAGCTGAGTACCTAAAGCCATTTCTATTACTGATTCCTATGGCACATGGAGGCGGCGGGACTCAGTTTAGCCCACAATTTACACACTACTCTATCCTGTATCATTTTTAATCGCTTTTGTTGTGTGAGCTAACCTTTTATGCCAGCCTTTCTCAAATGGGGAGATCCTTATCTTTCCCCTTCCACAGAACACACCCATGCACAAAACACACGTTCCCAGCATGTTCAGACTTTTTCCGCTCATAAATTATAGCAAATTCTAAAGAAATAAATGTACCAATTAACTCATAGTTTTATGCAAATCACTGATAAGACCTAAAACAGTGGTTCCCACGTTTGTGGCACATTAGAATCACCTGGGGATCTTTAAAAATATTACAAAGCTCAGCATATCCCAGACCAATTATGTCACAATCTTTGTGGGGAGGGGAACAGGGGAATTGCATCCAAATTGCAGATGAGTTTGGAACCACTGGCCTAAAGTTGTGCTTCTTGCTTAAAGGCACTTTTAACAAGTTGAGTACATATTTAACAAGTATCAAAAAAATATAAGTTAAAATAATTGTATTACAATGGTAGACCCTCAGGCAGTAGAAAGTAATTGGGGGTGGTATCTTTCAGGAGTTGGAAAAGAGACTCCCAACACTTCTATAGGGAGAATGTGGGCAACCTTCACCTGAATCATACGCTCCAAAAAAACAAGACCTCTAAAGAAGTTAGTAAACTCATTCTGTCTCACATGCAACCTAACAAAGCCCTGAGCACTCAGTAGGTGCTTTAACAAAGCCTCCATGGCTTGATAGCATAGCATGCTATTGGTTTTAATTCCTGTCCAGTTTGCATTTTTCCATCGTACACTTATGGCGATGGTAAACTATGTTAGCAGACGTGAGGAAATCTGACTTGCCATGTGAATAACACAGGAACACTCATTTCTACACAAAGGAAGAAGACTGACTCATCACTGTGATCAAATAGCCCTCCTTATTTTCTCTGATCAATGGATGGCAACCTCTCAAATTCCTGCAAGGGTGTGGTCTCACCTGTCCAGAACACCTGCTAGTCTTTGGAGCTCAGCTGCATGGTCCTCTGCTCTGTAGACCAGGTCTGGTGCTCTCCTTTGGGACATGTGCATGACCAGGTCATCCACATGACGCCTGATTTTGGCAGTCCATAAAAGTAGCTCATCCTGGTGATGCTCTAACTGCTACATGGAGAAATTAATATTGTAAATATATGGGTATCTATTTAACAACGGGTATGTGTACATGTAGAAGAGATGTGTGGAGACTCTTTGGAAACTGTATTGTGGCTATGCTGAGCTGTAACTTACTGCAAGAGCATTTTGTGCGGTATTTACACGCGCGGTGGCAGCATCTATCAATCCTCTTCCTTGGGCGATTAGCTCTGAGGTCAAGTTTTGATCTTCTTGAACACGCAACTTTTTATCCTGCAGCAGAAATCACCTTTTAAGGATATTTCACAAGAGCAAGCTGACTTCTGAACTTTAGTGTCCAATGCTACGTGCTAAAGTTAGTGCTCGGGGCTCACTTTTTAAGAAGCTAACAATGATGTGTTTACACTGGAGGACTTGGTTACCAGCTCTAAGTGAGAGGGAGAGAGCAAGTCTGACTCACGTGGAATTCTCTCAGGTTGGCGTTGATCATGAGGAGCAGGCGGTCACTTTCCTGGCTCTTTGCCTCGGCGTCCTTCACAAGTGCTTCTGCTGCCCGCAGGTCACTGTTGTGCTCTGCAAGGAGGCGGCTTGCGACTTCTTTTAACACCTCCAACTCTTCCTGTGGCTTCTGGTAATTCTTCTGAATTTGTGACAATAAATCTTCAGCAGCCCTGATAAACGTGAATGGTTCACTTAGTAAGCAAATGAACAGCAGAACTCCTATCTCTGACATGACAGTGGAAGGAATTTTTATACATTCATACGTAGTTTCTTCTTGAAATCGTGATACAACATAACTATTTAAGAATGGAAACAATTTTTCTAAGATAGGTACAGGTATGGCAGATTTATACTCTATCCTTAACAAATTATCTTTATTCACAAACTTCCTAACACATTTTAGCAATGGAATTGAAAGAAATCATCTCAGTGAATCTGGATTCAGAAAACTGGGACTACATTCTGTG